AGGTGAAGAAAAGTGAACTGAAATTTAAGTAAAGCACAGGGAATACATGAATATTAAGTCATAAAATTAATTTACGCCGTATACTCGCATATATGAGTTAAAAAATTGTTAAATTTAGAAATTCTAACTCTAAACGGAGAGTAAAATAAATGAATAATATGTGTAAAGTCGCTTTTACAGCGCACTCGGGCGCTCTGAGACACGTAATCGCCATCCTTGTCTGTCGAAACAGATGTTACCTGGTGAATTGCACTTAAAAATTTCAGCTTGAATGCCACCTATCCATGATTTCGCAAAATCGTAGAAAATTAAGAAACGAATTAACAAAAAAATATGGATTAATTAAAATTAAAGTTATTATGATATTAATTTATTTTAAATTCAAGTTGTTATTTTATGAACGTATCTATCATCGTTTATGATTTCATAAAATTTTAAGCAAAAATCTCAATACTTAATAGATAAAAAGAAGAAAAGATTATATGTAGATTATAAAATGATGAATGGACAATCGGGAATAATGTGTGATCCTCACGTGTTGCGTCATTAAATGACAGAATCTTCATTTGGACCACATTTTGCAATAAGGAACCACTATTTTTGGCTAATTTCAGAAACAACATATATACCATCGGTTTTCCTATGCAGGAAGGTGTTTTTACAGAAGAGCCAGAGATAGTGGCTCCTTATCGCAAAATGTAATCCATTTATGAGAGAGGATAAGAGATTGCATTACAGTTTTGTTCAAAGAAGGTAAGCACTCTCTTATATAACTGAAAAAGTGCATTCATAAAATTTGAAATCATCCTAAAGGCACATGAACATTGTCCCATCGGTTTACTCTACTCACTCTGCCTTTTCATCTTTTTTTTCTCCTCTCTCATTCTGAATTTTCTTCTCTCCCTATTTCTTCCTTTTCTTCATCAATCCTAAATGCCTAATTGAAATTGGCATCATGGTAGTTTACTGAATGCTTGCACTATATTTATATCAGCTGCAGTCATCATCTGGGAAAAGACCGAAATCAACGTAAGTTAAATCGATTATTGAAAACAAGCATAATGAGTAACGTAAGTTACACTCAAGATTTGTTTCACAAAGAAACGCAGCTACAAATATACAGTAAATGCATACTATGATGCACTAAAGCTGTAATTAAAATTTTGTCGAAAGGAATTTAGCTTCTACCATTAAAATTACTTCATCATAAATTAAAATTAAGTGGTTAATTCCCCGATCCAACTCCGCAGTAAAATTTGTTTTTTTGGTGAACAGGAATTTTAAAGTGATATAAACAAATACTACACCAATTCCTCATTTGTGATTGAATTTTGAAGTTTACGACACATCTATTTTGTTACACGTGAAAGTACTGTGTTATAGCATTTGATCCTTAACCTTTGTCTGGGATTTCATCACTGAAAAATGTTTTGGATCCATCAATGGATGGACCCCGCATTGGAGATTTCCGAAATACCGATGATTCACAACTTTATCACATGCTAGTTTCAGTATCGATGGTCAAAGTGTAAAACCACGTTTCTTCATCGCGGTGTTACAAAACATTTTCCACTCTTATTTTACTTTTTCGAAAGAAAATAAGCATGACTTCATGAATAAGAATTCACGCAGAATATTCGGTTAACAGAGTTGAAAATCGAGAGGGTTTTCAAGAATTACATTGTCTGGTTTTCCGAGGGAAAAATAAATGATAACAGGATGTATGCAACGTCGCAAATAGAGATACTTAGTTTCGCTCTGCGTCCATCGATATCACCGCATAATGTCCGAGAACATCATCTTTACTACAATTGGACGCATTTATGCTAAAAATAACTATGTCACACGCAAACTCTAAGCACATAGTTCCTTTTAGCATAAATGCGTCCAATTATACCGAAGGCCAAAATCAGCAACAACAGCAAAGCCAGTCAAAACAGCAACTCACCATCTTCTAGCCGAAGCACCACAAGCGCCATTCGACGTTTAAAAATTTCCGCCGTCATTTTTTTTTACAGATAAATTTTCAAAGAAGCTGTCCGAAAATTGCACTGAATTTTTTCTGCGCTGCCGATAAAATTCAGTAAAATTTTAAAACAGATTCAACCATTATTTTCCCTTAAAAAAAATAAAATGGCGGCGGAAATTTTTAAACGTCGCATGGCGCTCGTGATACTTCGACCGGAAGGTGACGAACTCTGATACATTCTTGTAGGTAAAGATTTTCCGAAAGGAGGGTGGCTAAAACTTGAGGAGCAGGGTGTATCTCTCAACTGCTCATAGCAGCCGCCTGGCCGTAGACATTAGACAGGGTCGTAAACATCTCAGCGAATTACAGCGCGTATTGTGGTGCACAGCTTATGGTGCTGGCCAGCGAGGTGAGGCGGCAGGGATTTACTGTACAGGCTGCATACATAAGAGGTACCTGCACCCATCCAACCGCTATCGCTTGCCACCCTTATTGATGTCTTAATAAGCCAGGCTTTTATTCACTGAGCATTCAGCGTTTATCGGCCCCGACTCAAACTCAATTGGACGTATTCATGCTAAAAAGAACTACATGCATAGGGTTTGCGCGGAACATAGTTCCTTTTAGCATAAATACGTCCAATTTTCTGCAACGCTAGGCGGAAATCGCCTATCTGCTTACAGCTTTCTGAGGAGTTGTGCGGTTCTCGGTTTGCCAGGTCCGCTCCGGCAAATTCCATCCGTGTTCCTGGGAGCCAATGCCCTCGCCATCAAAGCGGATCAAATTGAGTTACACTTTATCGAATGTGGCAGGAGTTCAGCGTGAGCTGGAAATGCTGCTTCCTCGCGTAGAATGTTTATTCTTGCTAATTCGAATGCAAGAGGCTGGAGGTACGGCGAAGGAAAGAGAGGAGACGGCAATGCACACATGTACTTTAGATTCAGATGAAGTTCACGTAAGAAGCCTATTCATAAAGTTCGTAATGCTCAAGTAGGAGAAGGCCTAAGCCTGCATTAGATGTGTATAGCGTCGACCTTTTGGAAATTCTTGGTGAAAAATCGACGCAAGTTGGACATTTCTAATTCCAATATTAATTACAAAACGCCATTTTGAGGGAGCGGAGGTCGGAGAGAGCGTCACGTAAGCTCTTGTAAAAGGGTGCAGACTAGGGTGTCCCAAATTTGAACCATCCAAAAAAGTTTCTCGGATCATTGATGTTCGATGGTTTTATTGTGGCATTATGTTAAACATTTAATATCCCCAAATTTGAGTGACATTGGATGACTTTTTGTGCTGCCGCAACGCGTTTTTAGTCGTGGCGAAAATTTTGGAGACTAGCCTTTTTAACGTTTCATACGCAACTTTTGAAGGCAGTTAGCAGCAACTACAGGCATCAAATTATTTTTTATCGTGACTTTGCATAGTAAGTAATAATGTTATTTTGATATTGCAAACCTAAAAATTTTACCTCGAACCCCTTAAAATCGACAAAAAACTGCAGACCTACGTTACGGATGATGGGGAGAATGATACGTATGATGGGGCTGATAGACGCTGGAACGTCCCGTAATTCTAGTTTCCAGTGTCCCTTTTTCGTTTCCCTCCTGTCTTAAGAGTTTCCAGGATTCTTTCCCTCGAATTCGTGGAAATTTCGTGCTATCTCTCCGTCCATCACATTTGTTTAACGACTAGACTTCCAAATATGATAGTATTGCCGAATCAATCATTACTCCAAATTAATAGATGAAGTATAGTGCATAAACCGGCAAAATTTTATTATCTTCATTTTGACTAGCCTGATTATTTAAAAAAAATCTGTTTCAATCCGTCGCTCTATATATTTGGTGGTAAATTGCAAATCAATTGAAGTGAGCATGTTTAAAAGTCAAGTTTAAAATTTAAAAAAAAATACCAACTCTAGAATATGGCTGCGAACTAAGAGTTCACGGATTTTTGTGACTGAGGAAATATACAACCAGTTTCCGCGGAAGTTTCCAAAATCCGCGGGAAGATTGCTTCACTAGCTCAAAGACAAATTGGACCGCGTTAAACAGAAAGGAACCAAGCCACATCAGCTATTGCCAAATTTAATCAGACAATTTAGTTTTTTCCATAAAAACGGTTGTGCGGATTTTAGTGCAAATTCGAGTGAATTTTCTCCATAGTACTAGGCAAATTCCTTAAAATTTTCAAAGGAATCAGCACAAACGTTCTCTCGTTAAAAATTAAATTGCCCCCTTAAATTTGGCAATAGCTGATGTGGCTTGGTTCCTTTCTGTTTAACGCGGTCCAATTCTCGAAATGATTTATTTGTTTTAATCCAAAATTTCCAGTTATTAAATACCGCTCTCATGTTGGAAAGTAGATATGAGGAAAGTCTGATTTGGTGGTTAAGTGAGGATGATTTTTCCTCTCGTTGAAATGATATTTAGTTTTACGGACAATGGAATTGCAATTATTTTACAGAAATTTAAATTATTTTCTGAGCTCCGTTACCTTCTATCAAAACGAGGGAAATGAATACGAGTCACGAGAAGTAGAATAAACCTATATAAAAAATGGGCAGGAGGAGCAGGAGAAGGAGGAAAAGAAGAGAAATTTATTTTTGCTTTTAGACTTGGAAGAATGTAGATAACAAAAAAAAAGAAAATAAAAAAGTGTGGTAATACTTGACATCATACGGCTCGGAGAAGACGGATTAACATGGAAGTGAAACGAAAAAAGGGTCCGGTTTGTAATGATTAAAAGTGGAAAAAATAACATCGACGGAAACTTAAACTTTTGCCGGCGCCTTCTGAGCATCAGTTACAGGTCGTCATTAATGACCCTGCTCACTCAAAACCTGAACAATAAAAGTGCGAATAATTAACACGTATTTACATTTTGATGCGCGAGCCACTTTTCGTTCGCTTAATAGCCGCGCACTTTTCGGCGAGCTGAACAAATTTCAGAGATAAGACTCAGAGTAAGTTGATTCATTATCTAATGCCCTCGCTAGAGGGCGCTGAAAGGAATGAGAGACATGAGAGACAAGAGGAGGCAAATTATGTAAGATGAGCACAAAATGTACCAAACTTTTGCCAAAGCTATTGAAGTGTAGTGGAATCCTTGTATGAGAAGGATAGAAAGGGAAAAAATTGATAATAAAAACAGTTTATTGAATTAAAGCTGGTGGTTTAGGTCATGAAAGTGGTCCTGTTACATGATGTGGGAGAGGGTTTAAAAGGATGCGATTCGAAGCAACTTTTCTCACATTTGCGTGTCTGCTTGGAGAAATTCGCGTGAGTACAATCCTGACGGTCTCAAAATTTTCCTTCGAGGCATGCCTAAAGAGTAACATTAATGTCTAATTCAGAATGCTAAGTTGGTGCGTGCATGGTTTTCTCCATGTCGTTTTATGCGGAAATCATGGTCCATACAATGAAAAAATTAGGAATAAAAAGATGCCTGCTTATAGACATATTCTGTGAGGTCAAACATTATCTGACATGTACGTTAGTATCGAACGTAAAGATTGAGCAAATAGAATAACGTGTCAAAGATTTGGTTCTTACAGCTTAATGCGACTTAATTTATTTAGGAAGGGCCCTTTTGTGTGGAAACATCGAGGGAACAATTTTTTGTGGGAGAAGAGACTTTTTCGATGTCGGATTTGTATAGCCGGCATGAGTGCTCCCGAACATCTTTGGAGAGAAAACACATAGTAGTTCCCCCGTAACTACCCACGAAAATCAGGAATATGGTTGCCATCGAAAAGTAACACAATCTGATGATCACACGAGTTTTCAATTATAACTCGTTATTTTAAATTATTTTAAGAATAATCGATCATTTGCAGCTTCTTTTGGTTAAGTTTTCTATTTTCCAATTTGCGAAATTCAATGAAAAAAACCTCGCTCCGATGAGTTTAACCTAAGTGGGAGTTAATTTTCGACTGAAATTCCTGATAGTTGATTCAGCTGAAAGAGCCATTACTGTAACCTATTCACGCATAAAAAGCTGCTATTGAGCTTTTAAGTTACACCGGCTGCATACAGGAGCGTGCGTGAAATCATATTGTGCACCTCTTATGATTTCTTTTTCTATTCTCTGGTTTTATGTCTTCCTCATGCTGTTAAGTCGGGTGTAGGTTAATAAATCATCTATTTTGCAGACTATTGAAATTCATTATCCCACCATAAAACCTAAAATCTACGAGACAACAAGTAAAGTTTTTTTGGATGTAATGCAAGGAGACACATCCCTGGGCAGAATAGTCATAGCACTCTATGAAAAAGACACGCCGATCACCGCTGGTTACTTCCGAGCGCTAGCCACGACAGGAATTAATGACACTTTTTTGGAGGGATCGTTTTTCCATAAAATTGTCAAAGGTTTCAAAGTCCAAGGTAAACTCAACGCCAAAATTATATTACAGAATTTGTGATAAAACATCAAATGATCATTTGCTACTTTCAAAGTATACGATCTACTTTTTTGAGCATGAGGCTTTTAGAAAGTTCAGACATGCAGATATCAAATCTACAAGTCATTCCAAGTATTTTTTCTCATTTTTTTAACCGCAGTATTATATAGAGTGATCCAGATTATGCGTACCAGGTTTTTTCCCTCGTTTATTTAGCTTACACGAAGTCACACGGAAAAAAAATGGTATACTGCTTTAGCACCTAGGATGTCAAAAATGTGTCTGGTGATCCTAAGATGCTGCCTTGATTGTCCAAGCACTTGAATTTGCATTCACAGGATGTAAAGTTAACTGCGGGGGCAGTAAAGTCAGCATCTTGGGATCACCAGACACATTTTTGACATCCTAGATGCTGAAACAGCATATTATTTTTTTCAGTGCAAGGATCGCAGGAGTGGGGACCAACCCCAAAGAATTTAAATTTCATCGCCCCAAAGCCCTCCCTCCCCCTTCCAAGGCTTCCACTGGGGAGTAATGAGGGATATTTATTTTAAAAGTCGGAGTATTCTGCACAAATTTTAAATCATTCTATCAGAACCAGAAAAAGCGGAAAATTCTAACCTCAATCGACCCCAAAAATTCAAAAATTGGCTTATCCCTGTCCGGAATATTGATCCCTAATCCCTAAAGGTGAAGAACAGAGCACCCCCGTTAAACATTTCTTATCTTTACAAGATCTTAAGGTCGTTTCGGATAATGTCAGCCATCATCTTTAAGATCCGTAGAATAGTGTTGAAAGTCCTACTAATTCTCGTCTTCGAGACAGCTCATCAGACATCTATGCGATGTCTTGATGATGCCTTTAAGACTTCGGAAAAGTCGTCTCACAGGCAAATGGTAGGAGGACATAACTCCTATAAGATGCTATTCAAGAGCGACCTACCATAAGAGGTTGAACGCTGTTTTTACATGTAAGGCCTCATTTGGACCGCGTTTAACAGAAAGGAACCAAGCCACATCAGCTATTGCCAAACTTAACCGGGCAATTTAAATTTTTACCAGAGAACGTGTGTATGGATTCCTTTGAGTATTTTGAGGAATTTGCTTCGTACTATGGAGAAAATCCGTTGAAATTTGCACGAAAATCCGCACAACAGTTTTCATGTAAAAAATTATATTGCCCAATTAAATTTGGCAATAGCTTATGTGGCTTGGTTTCTCTCTGTTTAATGTGGTTCATTTGCAATTCTCCTTTCGATAAGCGGGTAATGCTTCTGAGATATTTTTCTGACACAAATAAACTACCGGTCTGTAAAATCGCTCCAGCATTTTGAACTAGTCCATATGCGAACAACATTGTACATTCTCCAGCTACGAATCTGAATACCTGTAAGTCTAGATTTGCTCTATCATATCATAAAGGAGGAGAAGGAATGGATATAAACCTACTTTACGACGAGGAAGTTGAAGCTTATTCATACACGGTCCAAGAAGAGGAGGGAAAAGTACCACACGCGGCAGCAGGCGTCGTCAGTATGGCCTCACGAGGTACAGTTTTAAACCTTTTTTCGCGTGAGATATAATAAAAATGCGATAAAAAACATAATGGTAGATACATTTTAATGATAGGATAGGGGCCCAGTTATTCTTTACGGGAGTCTAATAATATTAAGCAGCAAACTGTGACATAAGGTCAATATTTTTCGTGGGGGAGGGGACCTATGGGGAAACTATAGCTATTCCAAAAAGGACAAACGAAGAGTGGAAATTCAAAATCTACTGATCACCATCATTTCGTGCATGGTGCTTTTTAAATTCATTTTGTAGAATTTTTTTCTCTGTTTCTTCGTCTCGTGCAATTTTTAATAGGAGATTTTTCTCTATAAATATTTTATCATCGTTTTAGAACAGAAATTGTCACTCTCAAGTCATTAGATTCCCAACTTGACGTATATATGTTAAATGGAACTATGTGCAAGTGGAGATTTTGTCGTGGAGTAGTAACAATTATATGCACTTGTAACATCTTATCAAATTATTAATTATTATAACTTTCAAGATGCTAATTTTATACTGTTACTACATATGAGCCTCAAAACTATTATTTGTAATATATTTTTCATTTATATGAAAAAAAAACCAAACAAAGATAGGATTTTCGAGTAAATAGTTAGAATCATTTGAAACTTTAACGAATTTTAAAAATCCTTTTAAAGAGTGCACGCTTAGCTTAAACGTATCATCCCAATGAACTTCCGTTTCCAAGGACTGTCCTCCCTCCCTCCACCCGTATGGCGTGGCGTAATTGATCAGTTTCGATATTTCCCCATTTGTAGGTATGGTGAATAATCAATTTATTGTTGCGCGCGGCGTTCGTTGCGAACACTCTGTTCATCGATCTTTTTCATAGGTTTAAATGACAGATCAATCGATATATCGTAAAACACGCCACGCCACTGCATTCCATCCGTTGTCGGATGTTTGAAGCGTGGCGTGTTGAGCTCGCTGATCTGCGTAACTGCGTGAGTAATTCTGATTTGACCTTTTCAAGAACGAGTAGAGGAATAGATGATGGTCATTAGCCATGAGTAAATTGCACTTTTTTGCACTTTTTCCTCGTGAATATTGACAGAAACCGAACCGGGATTCACGTATCAGAAATTTTTTGCTAGCATTTAGAGACTATCTAAACCGAACAAAAACTCAGAAACAAGGTCCATAGAAAAGTGTATTTTTAGATGAAAGGGGATATCAGTTAGACAGTTTTCTGGCGGAAAATGCAGACTTTAACGGTGAGGTTTCAAAATATCCGCCGGTGTACTAATGTTTTTTTTTTTTTTTTTTTTTACTTTAAAGAATACTAAGTTTCATTGGAAAATAGTTATTCAGATTATCTCCAAATAATGTGACAACTTTTCGTTTCAGGGCCACATATGAAATGGACCGAATTCTTTATTACAACGATCCCAACCCCATGGCTAGATTTTCATGACGTCCCTTTCGGGAAAGTAAGCAAATGTCATCTTTCTTGTGTACAGCGTTGTGTGTCATGCGTAAAAATTTCAGCCTTACTTGGGCAATGTGATTATCGAAACAAATGTGACTAAGAAACATGGGAACTAGATTTTTATAGCGTTATCAAAATTCTGAAAAATTCCATGAGGGTTTCATCTACTCGTATGTTAACTGTTAAAACTATGGCAATATACAATGGCATCCACTAAATATTAATTACGCACAAATAGGGTAATTTCTTAAAATGAGATAATTGCAACGCTTGCAGGAGTTTGACCAGGCGCCTAAGATCACAAACAACCTTCACTTAACCAGTTAGACGAAGATAGATTCGGCGTCGAAATAGTTGTATCAGTCGGGATTGAAGGGGTTGTGTTTCGTGAGTCATGCGCACGGTCTTTAAAAAGGGAGAGGTTTGCCGCTTGGTACCTCTAATCGATTGGTCTGTGTCATTTACGTTTGGTGTAGTGAAATTTCTGCTCTTGGTGGAGAATGAATCTTTCATGTGCGCAATTTTAATTGAGTGAATTTTTTTTCAGGTGGAATCTGGAATGAATGTAGTCAAAAAAATTGAAACAGCCAATGTTACCATCGAGGCCCGGCCCATAATTCCCATTTATATTAAAAAGTGCGGCTTGGTTTTAAAAAATGAAACAAGATCGCACAAAAGATTTACCACTGTAATAACAACATGATAACACACCTTGGATGCAGTATAGTGAGTGTGCATTCAAAATCAAATATCAGTCGACAAGAATAAGACAACCCTTCCATTCGTTGATTTGTTTTATTCATGAGATTTAACCACGAACATTGGATGTGCAATTTTTATTTATTAATTTTTTCATATTTATGTGTAAAGTATACATAAATAAATAGGTCCTCTTTTATTTTTTCCATAACCTCTAAGTTTTGTTTGATTGTTATTTCGCCAACAAAAAAAGACAGAGATAATTTTATGTTCCACTCAAAATTTGGTTTCCCCTCGTATGTTTCCCTAAGTTTTCCAACCGTGATTGACAAATGTGTTAAACCCAAATAAAGCAAACAGAAAATAAGATACACGACTGAGTTTTGAATTTTTAATAGCTGAAAATAAAAATATACATCTATTTCTCGAAGTGCTTGAGCTCCAATTTGAGTGTTAATTTACATAAGGGAAGGAAAAAGGGCGGGGAGGGAGAGGCGAGGGTGAAACATTGATTTTTCGGTACTCTAATTAAAAAGAATCTACTGATGGATTTTGCTCTCGGGCTAAAGCATTCAACGTTAAAAAAAAAAAAAAAAAAAAAATCGCATAATGTAGGTATGGCCTCTTAGTGCCAGCTAATTCAGCCAAATCTCCAAAAGTGATACAGCCTGACCTTAATCACGGAGCCTACAATGCGATCTACGAATGCCTAGAAGGATGGGAAGCAACGCGCAGCAGGAGTGCGGGACAAAAGTCTATTAGATCGCCTTCAAAAAACAGCTATACAATTTGCATGGCAGTAGCTCAACATGTATATGGGGGATCTAGGCCTAGGCATAGTCCCACTCCCGGACTCCCAACCTCAAAAATGTGTCTGATTGGGTTCAGTTCAGTCAGACTTTTAGACACTTAAGAATAGAGATGATTCTTTGATGCATTACTTCAACCATTTTTCGTACTTATACGTCTATTTTCATCAAAAACTGAAGATAGGTATTTTTAACTCGCAACTAGATTTTTTCTGTTGCAACGGAGCATTTGGCTTTTCACCTTAAGTCTCATCCTGCCTGATTGTAATCAATATATCTATGGTGAAACTGTATAAATATGCGTATTTGCGGCGTTGCAGACTTTCTGTCATACTTCATTATCTAAATGTCTACTGAACCACTGAATGTAATTTTTTTTAAATTTCAGTCATTTTTCTTCTCTTTTTAAAGCACATTCTGTGAAAACTTCAAGCCATGATGCTATTCTTTGGTCTCCTATTAATAAATAAAATAGTATAGCATAGACTTCGAAATTACGTAACCGCAATACGCATTTTTTTAGTTTCACCGTCGATATCTTTCTCGTGTGAGGGGAGTCGTCTTGTTCAAAGCATGGACTTCACTTCATACTTCTGGCTCATTATAAAAATAACGTATGTGTCATTATACTTTCCCAACACAGATATGTTTTTTTATGAACGAGTTAGATTTATTAGTCCGTTAGGGGCCGCCCCTAAAATAGGCAACTCTCTAGGGAGAGAGGGAGGTCGAGGAGAGCGCTCCGCCATTTTATTTTCACGTATTAAAGAATGGGGGGGGGATTCACGTCACAAAATCGGTACGAGGGTAGAAATGGAGGTCAAAAATGCTGAAAAAAAGGCTCACGTATAATTTAGGGACGGCCGCCTTTAATGCAAAATATATCGACGGCGTAAGTCCGCAATCACATCTCGTTTCCGGTGTCTGAAAATCTCCCCCTATATGTTATTTCTTTAAATGAGAACAAATTGACATAATTTCTTGAAGTTTTTGCAGAATTGTCTTCGCACAGGGAAGAAAAATTACGGCAGTTTTAAAGAATTGCCGTTGAGTAGTTTTCCGTCTAAAAAAAGTAATATGACAGGAAGTCTGCGACGTTGTAAACCGCGTTATGTGATTCGCGACTCACACCGTCGATATCCAAATAAATATGGAGATGGTTCTTTGACAGCTTCATTGCAAAGACGCGCGATCTGTAAGGAGGGTTGCTTCGTGCTCCTGGAGAAATTTCCTGCGGAGTTGGATGATGGATTGAGGTTTGTCGGAGCCGGAGGGCTGATCCCGCCTGTGCCCGCGCGATTAACTAAAATAATACGAAAGCGTGCAGTTCACTGGCATAAATAAGCCAGGAGGCTATGATTATCTCGAGCACAGATTTCATCCGTTTGATCCATGATTCCTCGATTTATGGTGAACAACCTGATTAAGCTCCCCACAAACCGTTGAAGTAACGCCAAGGTAGCGTTGCCTCTTTGCTCTTCGTGCAATACTTATTACAATTGGATTCTTTTTTTTCCAAGGATTTTTTTTTTAATATAACGTAACTACTACAAGTTTTTTCTTGTATCTATCTACATGGTTTAAAACTAAAACTAAACGAATTGCATTACATTCACAGGGTAACGTTAGATAATACGATTATTCAATTAGATTCCAAGCTCATTTTGAAAGGCATTGCTTGTTGGTGGCTTATATTCCTTCAAATCCTGCATTAAGAAAAAAAATATAATAAAAACACAGGTGTGATAGCTATGAAATTAATGAAAAAAATACCCTAATATTTTTGATACTTATGTTTCAGTTTTGAGAAAAATCATTTTCGCACCGTAGCAGATCCTCTTAAACTACCCTTGGTGTTCTGTATTTGTGCTTATTGTGAAAATGGTAGATGAGATCTTTAATCAAAATTTTGAATATAATTCGAACTTGTCCCATTGTCGTTCCGCGTGAATTCTTCAATTAAGTTTTAGAGCCTCTATTCAACAGGCACATGGTGCTGTAATAGCAATCATTTGATCAATTTCAAAAAAATCAATCAGTTTTTCTAAAGTCCCTTCACTCTCTGCGAATTTAAAAGTCTAATTTATAACCTTTATCACCTAGAGTGCAACTTCTAAATTTGCATGTACAATCTAATTATTCTTCTTCTTTTTTAAAAAGCTGATTTTGTCAGTCTATAGTTAGGAGTCAAATTTTGATCTACGTTCAACTATATAAATTCGTTTACATTTGAATCAAATTGAATTTTGAATTAAAACTTTGGCTAGTGCATTAGGCTTCACACGGAAAAAATAATAAAGGGAGAGAATGATTTTTAACCGCCGGACTATGACGTTGCAGTCTTATTAGTAATCTTATTTGAATTCAGATGGATCTTAGAAAATTGGATCGACGTAATCGATCGTTTTTATTTAAATTAAAAAAATTCATGTTCAAAGTTTCATGTTCGTTGCTTAGTCTTTCTGGTCTCAAGATCATTTATTGCAGTATTCTTTTATCAAACTGCGATACGCGTCATGTGGCCATCAGACAAGATCTGCACTGGAAAAAGGTCACATGCTATCTCGTCAAAATCTTATATAACAAGTTCAGAAACTAACTTAAGAAGGAAGGAGATAACAATTATTTTTAACGTAGATCAAATGGAAGTTAGGTATAACACAAATGAAGGGCTTGGAGGACAACGCGCAGAAGGGCAGTATGTGAGAAAAATTGAGACATTCATGATTTCAGGTAAAACGAGTGTTAATGCATATTCCGTGAAAAATCTGCTCCCAAAGTTCAATTTTTAAGCATTAAAAGTCAGATTAAACTTTCTTTCCGCCATAAAGAATCACATAATTACGAAACTTTCGAATACGCATAACTCGAAATAGCAAAAACTGCACTTATGCGCCCACCCAAAAAGTGCTCGTGGAATTTTTAAGTAACATTAAATATTAAAATTAATAGTAAAAGAACCAGTATGTTGGTCTGAACATGTTATTGTATGTACTATAATTTTGTATTATACTGAATGGAAAAAAAAAAAAAAAAAAAAAAAAAAAAAAAACTTATGCGCCTTGTCCTCCAAGCCTGTCCAAGCCCCTCGAATACCACCGCCATTTGGGTAACCAATGTTAATTGTAAACACTTGAATTTTACCTGCGAGCTGTTTTCCAGACTCTATCCGTTGTATTGGGTGATTCATTTTCCTCGTAAAATTTTGAAGAAAAAATATCGCGTAGTGCTCTATTCTTGGCAACAGCTCGGGAACTGTTGACTCCGGTTCCTCTCTTTAGTATATAATCGGCAATCGACATAAGTCACTCTGATTTTTTCTCTCCGCTTTTACTGGTGCCTTCGGAACTTTGACTTTTCGCTTTTCGAGCCTTCGCTGAAATGGGAACCGTGCAACGTTCGTTGGTAGCGTCAACCGTTCAAGGAAATGAATTGAGTTATAAGTTCTCGCCTCCTTGCACATGCAATCAGCGAAGAATTTCTGCTTTATAAGTATGGTACCTTGCCGTGCTGATGAAAAACGCCGTATGAACCTTCAGACGTTACCAAATTTTCTTTGATAAAACACGGATTTTCTGGTTAATCTATATGAACATTTTCCTTTGGATTTTACACATAATTTTGTACACAATTTCACCTAAAGTCCCTGTTTTTAAAGAAAAATATGCATACTTTTCTCAAAAATAAAAATTTTTCTGAAGGAAATTTGGCAACTCTAGAGTATTCATACGTTGTTCTTCCTTAGCACGTCAGTACATCAGAACACTGAGAGATGTGCTCATCACGTTGCGGCTGGTACCTACGGTCTTAGCGCAAATGTTAGTCGGACTACATTTTGCAATTAGGAACTACAATTTTTAACCCATCTGCCAAAAACACGCATGTGCATAGATAAACTAATGGCACATACGGACATACGCCGTTTCTAAACTGAGCCAGATATTGTAGTTCCAAATTGCAAAATTATGACAATTTTCACTAATTAAGAAATAAAAACAGCACAATCGTGGTTTTCTGTACCTCCGTATTAACTCTTTTATTTAGTAAGGCGGAGAAATGGTGCTGGGTCCACAGCATTTCGCGGGGAAACAAAGCCGAAAAATTCCAAAAACTAACACTTTTATTTCGCAGTTATTTGAATTAAATCCCTTCTGTAAGATTTCATATTGAAATAAGAAGAAGAAAAAAAAATTACCAAAGACCAAATTGAATGCCTGTAAACATAATTTCTCCGGCAGATCCTTGGTGCTTCCTAATTGAACAAATGCAACTGAGGGAATAAAAACGTAATTTTTAAACCAAGAAAAGGTAAAACTTTCATATAATTAGCACAAAAAATACCGATTTTGGCCCTTAGACGGCCAGAAGAAAGATATGCGATGCGCGATGCTGAGAAAAATAAACAAGATCTTATTTCAACGTTATTGTAATCAAGTTCGACACGAAAAGCCCCTTCAATTAGTTTACAAGCAACATACGTAACACTCCGATGCAGTCGTATAATAATGAAATCATGCAGTCGCAGTTAATTGCAACTTGTGCGCTCCTTGGGTTATCTATGC